TCAAATGAGCTGATGTGGCTCTATAGTCATTATAGTTTATATGTTGTTAAGTTTAGTAATTTAAAGTTTATTTAAGTAGAAGATTTAAATGAATAGTCTGCTGCAGTGTAGAACTTGTACAATAGTGTTTGGAAATGGTCTGTTTGATGTGTTACTGGTGAGGAACCTCCCGAGCTTCCTATGCTAAAGGAGCGGATGGTTATGCTTATCATACAGTTAATGCAAAGATGACCTTGAACTGAGTTGAGTTGTTTTATTTTTCAATGAAAAGAAGGCAATATGTATTATTTCATCCTTTCTTTTACAGTTAAATTATTATTTTTGTATACAGGGATTTTTATTTTTTTTTGGTCGCAGAAGCACTTACATCGTCGTATATGGACATACAGCAAAATATATTGAGATATTTTTTGCTCCATATCGCCCAGCCCTACTAGAATGTATAAGATTGTCAGGTTTGAGAAGTAGTAACGACGGTTAAGATTAAGAAATAAATTTAAGTCAGTAAAAAGCAGAAGTAAAAACAGACCCAGCCTGTGCACAGTTGTGTGGTTGGTGTGTGCAAATGTACCATGGCAATAATCATCTAGCCTCGTTTTTATTTTTATTATGAAATCTCTCCATCAATCTTGGTGTGATGTAGAAAACAACATTACGCAGGGGTCTGGGGTTTGTCTGTGTGCAAACAAATATGCACTGCTCCTTCCCTCTCTCTATCTTCTTTGTGAGCCGTGCACCGGGAGAATACAAATGTGTAAAGGTACATGAGGTCAGAGACTAGAGGACTTTAAATCTACACGGAGACAACTGCAATAACATAATAATAAAACATACTTAATTCAAGGTGGTTTTAATGTAACAGGGTCCCCACGCTCATGGAAATCCTGGAAAAGTCATGGAATTTTAGTATCTCTTTCACGCAACTACAGCGTTCGGTTAAGTTCTCATTAGGCTATTACGATTATTTCCGAACATATGCGCCTTTTGTTTAAAAGAATCGACAATAAATGCACTGACAGTATTTTGAATGTTAAAAAACTATAATACCAAACCATAAGGTGAGAGGAAAAGGTTAACATTTCATATTTAGCCCTAAAAGTCTGATCAATTCTACACATGTAGGTGTCGAAAAGTCAAGGAAAATTCACTTTAGGTCATGAAAAAAACATGGGAAAATTTAGAGATTTTGTCAGTGAAAGTGGGAACCCTGAAGATATTTTTCTATAAGATTTAGAAATGAATTTTTAATGCAAACAAATGACCTAGACCTATTAGAAGTGGTCAAATGTCACATACGATCATTTACTTTGCTGTGACATCACGTTGGGGGTGTTCTATATGTATGTCTGTGGTGGATCGTTCAGCAGTTACTATGGAGACCCAATGCACACATTAGCAAACATTGCCAAAAAAAAAAAAGGCTTAAAACGCAAGAAGGACCCCGTTTGGGTGATTGATGTTCAACAAAAATCAACACATAAATCAGCTCTTTCTGGTCAGATTGTGGTAAAACAAAATTCAGATGAAAGTCTAACTTGACTAACAGAGCTTCAGACAGAGCAGTGCCTCTAGTTAGCATTACAACTCCAGGAAGTGTTCGACATCAGCTGCAGTATTCATTTTGGCGGTTATAGGTTGTACTTGTATTATATTTGGACATAGCTGTGCACTGTGGAACTTTTCAGGTGGCATCTGCTTCCAAATTGTCTTCATGGAGAATGCTTGAATTTGATATCCGGTGCCCTCTGCTGGCAACACAGAGGACTGAAGCATTTTGAAGTGAAACAATTGGCAGCATGGCTATCAGCAACAGGACGCTGTGAACGAAACAGTTTTTAGACCTGTTTTTTTTTGGTTTTTTTTATGTTTTCAAAGGCTAGAAGAGAGAATTAAACAATAGTATTTTCAAGTGCACAGTGTAACTTTGGGGTAATCTCCACGCAGATGCCTTTGCTTTGCTTTCAGAAATATGTCATCAGACTTACAGGTCAGATCTATGAAGAGGCAAGCCATATTAGGGTGGTCCACAAAGCATGGTAAAATATAAAGTTTCAGAATAACCTCGATTAGAATCTTGCATTAGGTTTTAGCATCCAAAAGATGATTTAGGAAGAAATTTGGAAGAAAAAGGAGATGTTTTAGAACAAACATGTCAAACTCAGGCCCATGATATAATTATATTTGGCCCGCGAGATCATATCACATATGTATTAGAGCTGTCCCGCCAGCTACAGATAGACTATACAGACATTATTTATTTAAAAATCTGTTATTATTTTATATTATGCTTGTTCTGGATTCAGTGTTTAAGCAAAACTATTATTAAAGATTTATTTTAATAAGAAAAGGTTTAACATTACATATCACGAAAGAAAAGAAAACATGCAGATATTGTTGACATTTTCCAATAAATATTTAGTTTGGCCCACGTTTTTAATTTTGGCCCTCTGTGAATTTGAGTTTGACACCCCTGTTTTAGAGTTTGCTCAGGCTGCATGAAGTTTTCTGGAAATTTACTCATTTTGTGTTTTCAAGTAACTTTTTATGGACTTTCTAAGTAATGTTGATGCAAGTTTCAGTTTGTGTTTGTAGAATAAAATTATAAATGATTCGAATACATCTTATTTATTTGGTTCGCTATGTTGTAGTGTCTTGAGCAACCTCTAAATATTAATTAATTTGCATAAAATTTGGACTGAAATATTTTGGCCAGATATGGAACCAAATGCAGGGTTCTAGAGAATCAAAAAAAGTTTTTTGGACCACCCTAAACCATATCTAATCTCTACATGTTCTGCAGACATGTTGAAAGCCGTACTGCAGAACACTCCAGGCAAAGCAACATCTCCATAAAGACACGCAGACGACTCCACATCAGAAAAGTTACGCCTTTAGTACACGACTAAACTATCCTCCTGACATGAATTATTCCAAAAACCATATTGAGCAGAGTTGACCTTGACTGAAAATGCCTTTAATCATTGATCTCTCTCTCTTCTGTACACTTCTTAAAGGGCACAAATTGCTTTAACACAACTGCAGCACTTTAACAGGGTCAAGGTGCGCACTATTTTAGCGAACAGTAAATGATTTTTGCCAGAAAAAGAACGCCATGATATTACAAGTCTAAGGTGAGGCTGAGACTGGAGAATTCAGACAGAAGCCCTATAATTGATGCTATTCAGAGTCACATTTGCACCAAAATATGACATTTGGCATTTTCTACTGGTTGCATTAACATGTTTCTAATGGTGGACATTCATAGAGCTCCTTATTTAAAAGGTGCACTGTGTAACCTTTTGGATCAAGATAGATTCTTGTCCAAGAAGACGTTAGTGTTAATTAGAGGTGTTTTTCTAGCTCAAAAAAGTACATTTTCACTGTGCGGGGTTGGCTCTCCACATATTTGACCTATAACTTGGCCTCCAGAGAAATCGATCTCCAATAAGGTCTGCCGATATTTTTTGAGCTGAACGTACGGCATATACAAAATAATGTACCACGTTTTTAACTAGAAATTGAATAAGACAGCTGTGTAGTCACCTTTTGCGGTGTCATCTGAAGCTTGATCCAAACAAAACATCGGCCTGTGCTGGAGATAACGAATATGGTAAAAAGTTAAAATATTGACCCAATATAATAACGCACACACAGATCTCTCCAGATGAAGGCAGTTGGCAGTAGAGGTCTGCGTGGGACAGAATTGTCAGTCCCGCAAGATGGAGACGTTTGCTTTCTTAAGCTCTATCAAACACGGAGAAGCGGAAGGAATTGTCTAAAATATGAAAGAGATTAGACCACAGCCGCAAATTTAGGCTGCTTAAAATGTTTTTATTAATGCCAAATAAAAAATATCCAGCACAAATGATGTACGACAGGCAAACATTCATCATTTGCATATTTTAATTTACACTCATATTTAGTTTGCGGGACTGTAGTTTATCATCCCATCCGCCCGCTCCCGCATTGTGCAGTCCTACTCCCACCAACACCCACTGTGAGCTTTCAAAATGTGTCCCGTGCCGCACGTTTTTGCATCTGGAGTGCAGGGTTCTAGTTGGCAGGCTGCTGATTTGGCCCAAACCATCACCAAAACAAAACTTAACCACTTAATGCCAACTGTAACAAATATGCGATAAACCATTTGGATCAAGATATAAACCGAGACAGCGGCTGCATTCCCCCAGTGCTGGTTAGTGCTGGAATTTCCTAGGAACCTTTGGCAAACACGTTTTTTGTAGTTGTTGCAAATTTGCAACATACCCAAATTTCTATTTATTTTTTAATTTTTTTTCTATAGTCAAATTAATAATCTCAACTTAATATACCATCTACTTAAAGGCCAAAACATTTTTTTTTTAAATATACATCTATATAAATTCAGGCTTTAAGGGGTTAATATTCTAGGCCTAAACTTGGCCTGTGATATCATATCAAATATGTATTAGAGTCAACTACATTATTTATTTAAAATGTTGTTTTTATTTATATTTTGCTTGTTCTGGATTCAATGTTTAAGCAAAACTATTAATAAACATTTACTATTATAAGAAAAGGTTTAACATTACATATCTCAAAATAAGAGAAAACATGTAGAAGTTGTTGAAATTTTTCAATAAATATTTAGTTTGGCGCATGACTTAGTCTCTGTTTTTAATTTTGGCCTCTGTGAGTTTGAGTTTGACCTGTTCTGAGCCTTATTATGTAAAATACATGTGGACACATTACTGTACTGACACACTGCTTCAAAAATTTGGGATCCAGAACAAAATCAAAGTTCTCTTACTCAGGAATACAGTGTTTAGTGCTTCACTCAATGAATCTGCAGAAATTTGTGACATTTATCATTCTTCATTCTTTTTTCCTCATTAGCAGCCATTTTATTCAGTGACTAATCCACCTGTCAGTCACTATATATATATATGAACTGGGGAGTAACACAGGCTCAGATAACACTACTTGGGAGTTAAAACTTAGATATTCCATTTGCAGTTTCTCAC